ATTATTATATTTAAATGTAAAAATAAAGTTTCTTCTTCTCATAAAAAAAAAAAAAAAGAAAGCCAAAGTTTCTTCTAGTATTAAAACAAAAATGAAAAATTTTTGTGCTTATTTAATATCTGAAGCCTGAAGGTAGTATTTTATATGATACATATAAATTATTTATTGTAGGATATATAAATTTTCTTTATACATAGGGTAGCATTTTTATTTTCTTTTTTAATATAAATTTTATTAATTGTTAATTTAATAATTTTTACCTCATGCTTCTATTACAATTTTTTTTATTTTTCTTAGTTATTTTTAATTCTTATTTAATTGAATTCATAATCCTTAAAAATTAAAATTAAAAAGTATCAACTATTATTTTAATAAAAAAATCAAATCATAATTATTCTTAACATTCAAGATCTACATGAAGTATTATAAAATAAAGAAAAGTACTTAACACTTTTTTTTTTTTTACATAATTCTTTACCATCTATTTCTTCTACAATTGCTTAACTTGCAAAATTTTTTTTCTTATCCCTTCTATTATTTCCAATTTTTTTGTCATTTTTTTCCATTCCTATTCTATTCCTTAACTTGTATTGTAACATATTTTGATATGTTAATATAAGTATTCAAATCAAAGTTATTAAAAAGAAAAAGTGATTTGAATGAAATTTTAGTACAATTGAATATATATTCCCAAATATATGTGGCAATAATATTGGATGCATATACAATTTAAAAGAAATGTGAAGCAAAATTTATATTTAAAAGGATTAAAAAGTTAATAATAGTATAATATGAATAAAATAAAAAAAAACATAATATCTTCTTGCAAAAACCAAAAAAATATAATATTTTCATATAATTTGATTTTTATTAAATTCATACTTTTCTTATTTAGTTTAGTGTATGAATAAATACTTTTGTTACTCTAACTAACTCCAATCCCAAGAGTGAAATTCTCTCTTTAACAAAAAAAAAAATCATCCATTAATATTTTGTAAAGAAAAGAATGCATAAATTTTGAACAGATAAAGTTACAAAATTATTTTAAAAGAACAACATCATATGTTTTATAAAAAATTCATAAAAAAGAATAATAATCCTTATTTCATACAACAATATACATATTTTGGGCAAAGAGGAAAAAAGGCACAAGAAAATAAAAATATAATATTATATTTAGTTACAATATGAAACGTGAGAAAAAAAAAAACTATTTGGAACTCACTATATTAGTAAAAAGAAACCGTAGAGATGAAGAGGAGAATATGATATATTGGTATAGAGAAAGTGACTAATGATTAAAGGTGGGGAGGAAGATGGAAGGGCATATAGAAAAATCATGAAAAAAAGATGTCATCAAAGATCATGGGAACATATGCATTTATACATTTAAACATTTAAACATTGAATCTTCATTTTCTTCATTTATGAGTTTTTAAATATTTAAAGTTTTGGTTTTTTATATTAAGATAATGTTGCCTCGTCTACCACATTTATTCATCAATTATTTTTATCAATTACAATTTTCAATTATTTGCCTATCTATCACTTTTATTATCCTCTATAATTTCCATTTATTTTTGTCATTTATTTATAATTTTAGTTATAGTATGAAACATAAAAAAAATAATAATAATAATTACTCACCATATTAGTAAAAAGAAACTATAGAGATGAAGAGGAGAGTATGATATATTGGTATAGAGAAAATAACTAACAATTCGAGGTGGGGAGGAAGACGGAAGGATAAGAAGATGGAAGGGCGTAAAGAAAAATTACATATGTTAATATCTTACATAATTTTAAAATTTTAAAATCACATCATCTGTTACTCAATGCTTCTTTTGAAATCAACTATTTCAGCAATATTGACATCCATGTAAATCTTTGTAAATTGAGAGCTTGACAATGAAACTCCTCCTAATACAAAATTTTTTTTTTTTTTTAAATCAAGATGCATAATTTTTTAGATTTTTTATTTTAATAAAAAATAAAAAATTATAAATTTCATTATATACTTACCTTAATTGTCTTTGACAATCATAGATGTGAATATAATAACTTCCACATTTGAGTAATTAAAAAATCTAATTTACTCAAATTGATTTACCATAGAAGACCAAAGTGTTATATTCGAATAGTTTTTCCTTCAATAAAATTAAAATAATATCAAACAATTATATATAATTAATTGATCAAATATTATATTTTATTCAATTGAAGAGAAATGAAATTTAAATAAATTTCATGTAATTATTTAAATATGAATTACCTTTGATCTTCAATATGTAATTCCATGCAAGTAACATTACTACAATTTGTTTGCCTTTCTTGTAGAGTTCCAACACCAAGCAAAACTCCAATAACATCTAAATTTTTAATAAAAGCAATTTAAATAAAAATAAATCACATATTTATTTAATAAAATTATAGTAAAATTAAAAAAACACCACAAAGGCATTTCTTCTTTTTCTCGAGAAGGTTCTCATAATCATTGACTTCAAATATAAATCTTGGAATCTCCATGACTTCTTCAATCAATTCTTTGACAATAGTATTAAGGTGAAATTGAATCCTATAGTTGTTATAAGAGACAACATGATAAGTGTCTTTATTCTTTTCCACAAAAAAAAAAAAAAATTCACATAATAAACATTATTTTCAACTAACTTATTCTTAAATTGCAAAGTATTGAAACTCCAAATTATAATATGAATAAAATGTTTCTGCAAACAAATAATTATTGTTAATAGAAATCGTTAAATACATAAAAGACTAAATGTAATAACTTATAAAATTACGTTATTATCGACCAAAACCATTTTAGTAGTGAGATGGTTCTTGTCACATTTTAAACTAAAAACATCTTGTAATACACATACTCACACTTTAATCTTCCAATTTTCTTTATCAATGAAAGTTGATCAAGAAATACATATTCCATATCTCTTGCAATTGATTTACCTCTATATAACAAAATATTTTAAAATTAGAGAAAAAAGGTAACATAATTAGAGAAAAAAGGAACTGATGGTTAAAATCAAATACCTATTCATATTGAGAAAATGCAATCTAAGCAATTACACTTGTAATCAAAATTTGAATTTAGAAAAATTTCTAAAACAAAGCAACAGTGAAAAAATTTTGTCAAAAACATAAAAAATTTAAATAGTAGACACTTGACCCTTCAAGTTTTAACTTTTGTTACTTTTTTCTTTCTTTATCTATCTAAAGATGAACGATCTTAAATATCATTAATTAATATGTTGAAAAAAAATAAAAGAAATGGTCTTGCCTCTTTATCTAAGAATGAACCAATCTTTTCAATATTAATATTAATAATTAACAATTAATATACCATTCATTTAAATTATTTTCAGTTACCAAGATAAATACTTATTAGTAGTTTATAACAATCATAATTTAGTTGAGATCTGCATAACTTTTGCGGAAAGAAAATGAAGAGTCTATTCATGAATTAATTGTGTATAATAATTATATAATAAATAATAAATAAATGTAAATTATTATATTATATATTATTATTATAAATTATATTATATACTATTATATATATAAATGCATACCCTATTTAATGCATAGGGTAGCATTTTATATATATATATATATATATATATATATAGAGTAGATTGGCCATATAGATACAATGATGGGCTGTTGAGGTATGAGCAGAGTGATGAAACTGTTGTCTTCTGTGGAAAAAAAATTACATAAAGAAAGAACAATTCCAAGTTTTCTGAGTTGACGCTAAGGGATCTGAGCTATCTCCACTAAGATTTTGTGCAACGACTGGGGCTTGGAAAAGAATGGACAGTGGTCACTCCCTTTAATCTTGTAAACTCCTTCTGGTGGATTTTCCCTTACCAGCTTTTCTTGGACATCTGGTGAGAGAGCATGGTCATCCAATGTCTGAATGTAGAATCGCCGTCCAATTCCATACTTTCCAGGGGACAATGACAATCTCTCAATCATAGGACCCAATGGAATAGGTCTCATGGAAACCATAGCCAAAGCAACATCCTGCAATTAAGGAACCAAATTGCATGTTGATTGATGTGAACCAAACAACATACTTCTCATGATATGTATGTCAGCGTGCAATCATTCTAGCTTTTATTAAAGGGCAAGCTTTCCAGTCAAGGTTTCAAACAAACGAACACACTAAGTAAGATGCCACAAACTAAATTATGAAAAAGTCTGTGTTCTCACTTCTATTTCTATACAACTCAGGTTAACTCCATATTTTCTAGTCTCGGAAATTGTTTTAATTCGTTCAATGACAGTCCAATATTTGATTACAAGAAATGAATATTTGTACTCTAAATCCTTGACATATTAAGATTTGGGGATTGAAGGGGACCCAAAAAAAAGAAATAGAAACCTTGAAGAGGAAGTACTGCACTTATTTAATTGACAGTCTCAGTACATACCTTTGTTGAGGATTGATTGAAATATAACCCTTTCATTTGCAGTTTCTCAAACATGAATCCTGTAGGGGGCTTATCTTTTCCATTTCCATAAATCAGATATTTTGATTCTTGCATTAAACTTTCAGCAGAACCAAGCTGCAACAAAGATATCTTTGATAAGGTCATGAAATCAGAGGAAGGATCATATCCAGAAGATAATCTGCATGATAGGACTGCTGTTCTACACAGTCCTAGCTAAAAAAATTTATAGCACATGCGCATTGGAACTGAAATTACATTTGCAGGAAAATGTTTTTGCTTATTTCTTTGAAATATTTAAAATACATTCTAGTTGTTCAAGGTAATTAGGTTTTATTAATAAACATAAAGAAAAACCTGGAAGTTTGCGAGCAGGAAGAGCCAACCAATTTATGTTCATCTAAGAAATTAACACATTAGATGTGAGCTAACTTGCTGCTATTGCTTGAGTGCAATAATTGGAAGGCAAGCACAGGCATGATATTAAGCTGGCATGCATATAATCTTATTCATCAATCCTAGATATATTAATCACTTAACAGGCACCAAGCATTGATAACAGACCTCTTCAGCAAAGACATCGAAAGGTCTCTGACCATCAGTCACCATCATAGCACTAATAAAAATTGCTTTTGAGATCTTCTGTGGAAAATGCTCCAATGCATAAGAAATGCATGCACCTCCACTGCTGTGACCAACCAAAATAACCTGCAGATAACTCATACATCAAAAAGGTTTAAAGAGGCTAGGTGGAACTTGGGAGATGTTTTCTTTCTTTCATCTTCC